ATAAGAAAATTATCAAGTTTCACAATCTCTTTCCAAGAATCAGAAAAGCATTAATCATTTTTGAGGCAATTGAATGCAACATAAATCAAATTTAAAAACCAAGAATATATATACTATACTTGAAGAGTAGATTGCAGGATTCATGAACTTCAAGTAAGAATTGGTTCTTACTACTAATTAGCTAGCCACACATAACCTGCATAGAATGGACACATATCATTTATCATATGAGAGAAAGCAACAAAAGGGGAGAAAAACCTATAGTCTCAACTCAACCTGCTATGTTATATATGTAGTAATCAATTTAAATTTTCTAGACTCTTATATTAAAAGCATAAAGATGAAGCCAATTTCAGTCTTTCTTTTAAATAAGGTTTTACCTGATCCTCATCTATCTCAATGCAGGGAATGCTACGGGTGAGATGCAAATAATCTCCTTTTGCCTCAAAGTGCTGCTGTTTTAGATGCTGGCAGTTTCTGATGTAGAGTTTTCCAAGCAAGGGAGGCAAGTCTTCCCTTGGCAAGGATCGAAGCTTCGGACAGTTAGATATATGCAACTCTTGAAGAGAGTTAAGGCTATGAAGGATCTCTTTGGATATGGATTTCAGATTTTCTACATCAATGATCTCAAGAGAAGTTAAAGAAGATGGCAACACAATGTCAGGAGGCCACGTCCGACTAATTGCCAACTCTTCAAGAGAGCTAAGGTTGCGGAGGTCCAATCCCACCAACAAACGCCCATCTGAAATGGCTAGTCTCTAGAGCGATCTCAACTCAACCACGTTATTTGGTAGCAACATGAGATTCTCACCATATAATACAAGACTTGTTAAGTTTGCAGGCAAAGCACCATCTGTAATGCACTTGATATTGGGGCAGTTTCTTATGTATAAGCTTTGAAGCGATCGGAACTGGTATATGGTATTTGATAGGGTCTTGAGACTCTTACAGTTTGTTATTTTTAGAAATTTTAGATTGGGGATGGATGAGCCCAGCTCTGGGAGGGACTCTAAAACTTCACAGTTCATGATTTGTAACTTAACAAGGTTGCTGTTGCCATTAAAGATGGGTAAGCTTTTCAATCTGTCACAATGACTTATGACCACGCCTTCAAGTCTGGTGCAACGTCGCAACATCCTCTCTAGAAAGGACTCTAACCCCTTATAATTTTCATCATCAGCACATTGGGCAATAACTCCAATTCCCCACAGTTTTGAAGGTGAAGATTTTTAAGGTTGAGAGGCAAGAGGCCTTGTTCTTTCCCTGCCAAACACACAAGTAGAGGACAATGACAAATTTCCATTCTCTCAAGACAAGCATGGTTTGCTATTTCTGTTCCTTCCTCCCACAGACAAGTAAATTCTTCACAACTACCAACACTTGGAGACTCAATCATTGTTAGGGACTCCAAAAAACTCTTAGGCATGCAATTTAGCTCTGAAATTCTCCAAATTCTCAAGCTAGTGAGAGAGGTGAGATCAACCATGCCCTTCAAAAGAGAAGCATTACAGTATTCAAGATTCAAATCTCGAAGCAACGGAAGACTCATAGAAGAGCATCTCAACTCTGGGCAGGCTTCTATCACAAGATTTATGAGGGAACCTAGGTTGCTTGGTAATTGTCCTATCAACTTAGGACATCGTTGAATCACAAGGTCATGGAGACAAGGGAATTCACCTCCACTTCCCATTGGAGAAGCCCATTTTTTCCAATTAAACATATTACGAAACACCAGTCTCTCAAGTGATGGAAAAGTGCCATGCCCATAAAACCCACGACCCACAGCTTCTATTGCTTTCATGCCTTCAATACTCAAGCTTTTGAGAACAGGTAATAGTCTAAGTGATGGCAACAAAGTGCATCTCTCACAATTTTTGAGCTCCAAGTATGATAAATTGGAAAATAGTGGATCACCCATCCATGATGGGAATTTGTGGCCACCATAGAAAACAATTTTGAGACTTTTCAATTTTGAATGAGGTTTTAAACAATCTAGAACTTGCATTTCACCATTGCTTCTCTCCCTTGAATTGCTGAAATCATAAGTCCACTCCAAGAGTAATTCATCAAGACCATGTATGTTGCCTAGGTTGGCTTCCCTAGCATCTTGAACATCAAAAACATTCTGTAAATCTAGAATAAACAATTTTCCTTGAAGTTGCTGGAAGTTCTTTAAATCAGATAATCTCATCAATCCATTTGCCTTTCCCACCACAAATTTGGACAGTGTCAAAAGATTTTTAAGATTGGTTATTCCTGTTGGCATCTCTTTTAAAGAATTTGTCCCCATAATATTCAGATGATGGAGCTCAATTAGGTTCCCAATTGTTGAAGGAAATTTCAAAAACTTGTCACAGTCGAATAACAATAATGTCTGTAATTGAAGAAGGAACCCTACGGATTCAGGTAGGCTCTCAATCAAAGTTTTCGACAACTTAAGGTATTTCAAACATTTTAAATCTCCAATCGAATCTGGTAATTTTCATATAACATAATTTTGAAGAGATAATGCCCTTAAGCACTATAATTGTGGAAGCCAATCATGCACCACTGTATTTGATATATATGATCGATGCCCCAGAAAGATTGAAACAGATGGAATGAATGTTCGTAAACTCTTCATTTCCTTCAAAACTTCAAATTTCTTGGATATATCATACTTGCCAAGGTTGAATGACAAATGACGAACCTTCTCAAAATTTACTTTTGACTTTTTATTGGCCTCCCACAAATTTTCTAGATTGAAGGATGTTTTTCCAACAATAAATTGAGCTAAATCATGTATAAGATCATGCATCACATATCGTGATTTAACCCTACTTGACCTTTCAAAAAATGTTCTTGAAACTAACTCATTAAAATATCGGTATCCATCTTCTTCTGAATTTTGTTGTTGGAGGAGCCCCATTGCCATCCATAGCAAAACTAGCTCGTTCTTGTCAAACTCATAGTCTTTAGGAAACACAGCGCAGTAAGCAAAACATGACTTCAAATAAGGAGGAAGATAATAATAGCTCAATCTTAAAGCTGGAAGAATTCCGCTATCATTTTCTTGCAGCTCCTATATTTCACTATGTAAAATGTGCTCCTAAGCTGAATGATCTAACTCATCACACAGAAGGCCTCCAAGAATTTTTGCAGCTAGTGGTAATCCTTTGCACTTTTGAACTATTTTCTCTCCAACTTCTTTTAGACTTGGGCATGCATTAAAGTTGTTAGCTCCCAAAGAACATTGAGCAAATATTGACAGGCACTCCTCATCCTTCAACACTTTTAGTTGGTGAGCTTTAGACTTCCTTCACATAATTTTTACAACATCTTTACTATGAGTTGTGATCATTATTTTACTTCCAGCTGCCCCAGATAAGAATGGTTTTTGTAAGCTATCCCACAAGGAGGGATTCTCATTCCAAATGTCATCCAATACAAGTAGAAACTTCTTATTAAATAACACCTCACTCAATTTTCGTTGAAGCAAATTCAAATCATTTGAATCAAACTTTTCCCCAACTACCTCTAGAATAGTTCCTGTTATGCTTGGGATATCAATTTGATCAGAAACACAAACACAAACCCAAGCCTTAAGCTCAAAGCTTTCTAGCTTCACCTCATTGTAAACAAGTTGAGCTAGAGTGGTCTTCCCAACACCTCCCGTCCCATAGATTGGAAAAACAGAAAATCCTTTAGAACTACTGCCTTCATCATTGAGCAACTTTTGAAGAATTGTTGCTTTATCACTTTCTCGACCATAAACATAAGGTTCAGGCAGAGAAGTAGTGGGCAACCTTCTTGTGGATGCTTTGTTAAGTCCATCTCTAGCTTGAGTTGTCCAACTCATTAGGCCGAGTGTCTTTGATTCATCTATTATGCGTTGCAAATTGTGAGTGATATCATCCACTTTAGAAATAGCTTGGGAATTAGAGACAAAATCACTTTGTTTGAAACAGTTGAAACATGAGGGGATGAGTTTGCTGGTGCTGGCATGGTGAGGTTTTGCAGTTAAGTTGCTCCTTCGGGCATCTGTCACAAATTCATCCAAGACGTCTTCCATATCATAAGCTAAGTCCCTGATATCATCAAGCCATATCTTCACCGAGTGGCTGGGATTGAACATTTGAGTCTTTTCTGCATCTTCAAGTAGGGCACGAATTTTCAATGATAAGCTTTCCCATTGTCGTAGCTTATTAAGGACTTGCTCTTGTAAATTCAGTGCTCTGCTAGACTCTAACTTGTTGAA